ATACCCACTACTTGACTGCCATTTATTCCATCACTTTTTTCAGATTGCTTCTCTCCCTCCCTGGACTTTAACCCAATCCATGTGAGTTCAAATTATGGGCAAGTGGTCCGAGCTAGTAGACCAAAACTGAGCCATATTCATATTAATCCGAGCCATTTTGTTCGGATTGCACCCAAATCTTTATTTATATAGTGTAGATAGGTAGATGTATTTTTGAGTCGTACAGAGTAAGAATTAACAAGCTTGACTGGAAATATGAAATGTGAAGAACTTCATGTAGCCTAATCTGGAATAATAATTATTGCTTGGAAAAAGTACCATTACTATCCCACTCGTTGTAGGATTACGTTTGATATGCCCATTATACAAGAATTTTATTTTAATTTTCTTCCTTTAATTTTATGTTATACCTTAATAGAAAAGAATCATCTCTAGATCTTCAGGGAAATAATATTAAACAAGACAAGAAAGAATAATATTCATATTGAACAACAATAAACAATAATTAAAAGTAAAACAATACAAAAAATGACTCCACAAATCAATAAAAGTAAAATCTCTCACACAGACCAAGACAACAGATACATATCACATGCTCTAGTTGGGAGAAAGATGAACAGAGTTGTAGCATTTCAAGGGCTAGTTTTAGATGGAGGTGGTGAGAAGAATGGAATTGTTGGCATTGTTGTTGGGATGGTCGGGATTGAAGGAATTGTGGTTGGAATGGTTGGGATAGTGGGCAGTGAAGTAGCTGGCAGTGGAGGCAGTGACACCTTAGGAACTGTGGGCATGGTTGGCAATGTTGGTAGCGCGTTACTTGGTAATGGTGGCAATGTGGTCTTAGGCAGTGTAGGCATGGTTGGTAGCGGAGTACTTGGTAACGGTGGCAATGTGGTTTTAGGCAGTGTTGGCATGGCAGGCAATGGAGGCAATGTTGCTTTAGGCAGAGGTGGTATTGTTGGCATTGTAGGCAGTGTAGGTGTTGCAGTTGGAGAGCTTTGCAAAAGGGTGCGCGCTGCGAGGCTCATATGGATGCTTGAAAGCGATAATGCTACAATCAAACATAGAATAAAAGAATGCTTAGAAGCAGCCATAGTTTAATAGTAGTTGAAGGTAACCTTGATTTTTTTGGAAAAAACTGTACTGCAAGTTTTTTTTCTGTTGAAGGAAAACATGGACTCGTGGGTATATATAGAGAACAAATGTTGTAAGGATTCTTAAGATTTGGTAGGATAAATGTGTGGTTGATGAGATGTGGTTGACCTAAGTGAGGGAACTCTTGTTAGTTCACCTCCCAAGCTTTGACTCGTAGCAAAAACAGAAGTGCTAACTCACCAAGCCATCTTAAACAGAAAATTAGTTATGATTTATGGGCCTTATGACTCATCAATAGGCCAGTGGGGGAATTGAACAAACTTTAGGGAGATGTTGTGGTTGCCCATCAAATGAGTGAGCTTACATGTGTCATTGGTCGGCGTGTAACTATAATAAAATGATTGGTAATTCAAATAGCATAATGTACTTGTTGACATTACAAAATTGTTGCCAATCCTACTTCACGGAACAGATATGCAAATATGCTTCTCTCTTGTTTGTATAAATAAAAGCAATAATATATGTAGACACAATTTCAGTCCAAGGGCACAACTTTATATGATGTTATGAACAACAAAGTTGATTAATTTGCAGTAGCTCGAAGGGTATGATATCTACCCCTAGAAGAAAATGTCGAGTGTTTGGGACAATATTATGAATGTGTGTGTACAATTTGTTTAAACTTTAAAAAAAAAAAAAAATGAATCTAATGTGACGATAACTAAAAAGATTTAATGTCCTATATTTTAATAAATGTTATACTTTATTCTTTTATGCATTTGTACGTGTTTTCTATTCTAATAAAATAAACTACAAAGTTAATAGGAGAAAATATTCATGAGATGTCCAAGTGTCCATTTAGAATTTAAAATCAGTGTTATCGTAATTTATTTATTTATTTATCTATTTCCTCTGTTGAAATTATCACCAACCCTTGTCTCTAGCAAGTGAATGTTAGTTGTGCTACGTGGAATGGGTGTGAAATAAATCTTGAAAAAATAACATAGAGGGGGAGAATAGGGTTAACTTGTCATTTTGTCCGATTTTTGCATATTTTTAACCTAAATAAAACCAAATAACAAACCCACAAAGTAAAAATAAAGTGCAAGTAAAATAAATAGAAAGAGATTGACACCGGAATTTTTAGCGTGGAAACCCTATTGGAAGAAATCCAATGAACTTCGGAAAAAGTCACAAACACTTTCACAGTCTCGAGTGAAATGGTCCACTACCATTGAAGCAGAGTACAATAGACTATGTGTCAGGCTCACACCCACTCCACTCCATGAAGAACTAGTTGCTAAACACCTTTGGCTTTGCAACTACCCCATTCAAACTCTTCAGGCTTCAAGCTTACTGCTCAATCCTTGTAAAAAGGTTGCTGGAAGAATACAAGCACTCTGTGAATGCTCTATCCCCTTTGTAGCTTAATCGAATAATCCTTTCTTTAAATATGAATTTGAAAAGGCGCAATGATACCCCGCTTTTCAGAACGGAATTTATATGAATGCTTTGATTCCTCAAACTATGATCAGTATGAGAACTGTTGAGAGAGAAATAGACAATATATTTTTGTGAAATTCTCTCAATACAGAGAACCTTAAACATTGATGTATCTATAGTGCCTAGTGTAACGAGTGGGCACTTGTTCACTGACCAAAAAACTTAAGTTATTCGATAGTACTGCATACCTGGCCCACTCATTTATACCCATGTCACTTCCTATTCGGATCCGATGTGGGACACCTCTAACATTCTTCCCCACTCGAACTCGACCCTTATTGTAGTTGAGCCACCCTACCTACCCAGGGTGGGAACCCAAATTCTTTCAAATCAGACACTTAACGGGGCACCGAATCAAGAACTAGGTTTGGCTTTGATACCAACTGTAATGGGTGTGTGCTTGCCGAATGAACCGAAGCTTAAGCTATCAGGAAGTACTACATATATACCCCACTCATTTATACCCATTTCACTTTCCATTTGGATTCAATGTGAGATACCTCTAACACCCATCTTGTTACATACAAAGAAATATCTTCTTATACAAAGATTAGTGGTTGTCAACATGATATCACCACCTACTCTAAAAATTTAAGCTTGGAAAAGGTGCAGCTTTAATATTTACATCCTTTAGCATTGCCCCTCATATGTGGCCTTCATTTTTGGTCCAATGTAGGTTTTTCAAATTTTAATTAGGGTGACTATGATGTTTAAAGTGAAGATCCTTACCTTTGATACCATGTTGAGAGAGAAAAAGAAAAAGAGACGATATATTTTTGGGGAATTCTCTTAGTACGAGTACCCTAAACATTAATGTACATATATATATATATACACACACACATGTAAAACACACGTGTGACGTATAAAAAAAGTATAAGAATAATTTATTATATATATATAAATAATAATATAAAAACATATTATTTATTGAAATAAATAACATTATAAAAATTAAAAATAAATTATAAAAAAATAAATATAAAAATATTTTTATATATAGAATTTTTAGTTTAGGATTTTGTTGGTATATTTTGATATAGAATTGTTGTTATGTGTTTATTGAAATAAATTATATATTTTCTTCTTTAATTAAATTTCATGTCACTGGGAACTGCTTACCTTCTTCGCAGCGCACCAGAATGGCACTCGTTGTGATGTTGGACACACCAAGGTACATAAAGAGCTTTTCACCTAGCTCGGGGGCAGATAAGACTAGAGGGTTCTGCATATATTCTTTCAAGCTAGTCAGTGTCTGTCGTTGCTCATCCCCTAGGCCTGCCTTCCATGGCCTCTTATTGTATCGAAGAACTGTTTACAGCGATCTGACAACTTAGAAATGAATCGACTCAGTGCGGCTATCTGACCTGTGAGTGCTTGCACTTCTTTGACCGTTCTTGGTTCTACATTTTTTATCAGAGCTTCTACCTGGGCTGGGCTTCAATTCCTCTATTGTTGACCAAGTGTCCCAGGAACTGCCCAGAACCCACGCCGAACAAGCACTTAGTTGGATTAAGCTTCATTCCATACCTCCTCAACACCCAGAATACATCTTGCAAGTGTTCCAGGTGATCATCCTTCTTCTTACTCTTTACCACCATGTCATCAATATAGGCCTCTACAGTCTTCCCCATTTGGTTTTTGATCATCTTGCTAACCAACCTTTTTTAAGTAGCTTCAACATTCTTTAGTCCGAACGGCATGACTTTGTAGCAATACATTACAAGAAAAACAGTTTTTTACCACGCATTTTTTACCACGGTTTTAAAATAACCGTGGTAGAAAGTATATTTTTTACAAAACCGTGGTAGAAGACCCTTTCTACCATGGTTTTAAAATAACCGTGGTAGAAAGTATATTTTTTTACCACGGTTATTTCAAAACCGTGGTAGAAAAGATCTTCTACCACGGTTGAGAGATAACCGTGATAAAAAATTGTCTTTCTACCACGGTTATGCATGAACCGTGGTAAGAAGAATGCCCTTTCTATCACGGTTTCGCATGAACCGTGGTAGAAAGTAAAACTTTTCCCCCCTCACCGCGCAGGTATTATTCCCGCTAGTAATTGATGAAAACAAATGAAAAAAATTAAAAATTAAAAACCAGCATATAACACAAATTTACGGCTCAACAGACCTAACTCAAATATCTGTCTTCGAAAAAAAGCCCTAACACAAAAATCTTCTTTGATCTGTACATCTCGCAGCAAAGGGGCCTTCCATCGTCGTCTAGATCTCTGTCTCCGGTCACCATCGTCGTCTAGATCTGTCTCTCCGGTCACCATAATCATCTCTGTCTCCAGTCGCCATCGTCATTTGTCTCCGGTGACCATTGTCATCTCTGTATCCGATCACCATAGAAGGGACCCCTAAACCCTAAATTATAACACACTGCTCATAAAGAAGTCACTAAATCCGGAGATTGTTTTTTTAATTTCGCTTTCAGTAAAAAATAATAGGTATCCACACACACTTGCACACACAGTCTTGATTTCATTAGCTATGTCACATACATTCTAGATGACAAACCAATTGTAAAGAAGATTTTTAAATTTGATAGAATTTGACTCGTTCATAATAGCCACTACTTGTGTAAAATTGGGGAATTGCCCCTCCTGTACCTCAATCATCCTAATCCCCCTCCTCCTTATGACTTAAGGAATGATCTCCTTTATTTGGGGATTTGATGTTTTGCATGGTGCGGACAAGTTGTGAGGCCGAGCAATAACTTTATTTTATGGTTAATCATTTTTATTTTCATTTTCCCTATAATCTTAGGATTTTCTTGGAAAAATTTATTGTATTTTTTTCTCTTGAAATCGAAGGTTTATTTTAGCTAGATGAAGCAGAAAGTTCAATTTTTCCTCCATTAGCAATATAGTGGCACTGGTATCTTATATTTGTTCAATTTCTTTATATTTTGTGCAAATATTGTTCGAATGCTCTGAAAAATATATTGACATTGTGTGTGCCTGTGTAGTTTTAATTTGGTCTCTAAAGTTAGATTGATGGTTATTATTATTTGCAATCCTTTACATAAGTGTTGACGAGGCCGCTTGTATACGCCAAAATAATGTAGTGAATGTGCAGTTCAAGAAAAGCCTTTTAGGTCAAGTTTAAATTTATAAAAACCACTACCACCACTACTACTAACGTAGCAAGAGTGAGTACGGATTATCTCAAGGGATTGAGGGTCGTACTAGGTTGAGGAATCAAGATTAGGGTTAGTAGGTCGAGTGATCAAAATAATGATTGGTGGTTGAATTACACTAAGATGCAATTTAAACTAAAGTAAACAATAATGCAATAAGGAGAATAAAAGAGAAAGAGATCTTGGGGATTAGAGATCACCACTAAACATACTTTTCTACACCTTTAATGAATGATTAATGAGAGGAAAAACATGTATTGCAGCAAAGAGTGTGTGTGTGGTTGTTTCAATAAGCATAGATGACAAATTAAGCATATATTATCTAAGCAACATGGTGGATAGCACAACATATCAAATTAAGTCATTAATCCCTTCTTTAAGCTCACAACCAAACACATCACAAAGTTAGATATATATGTTACTTGCTTTCATAAGTATAGAACATCAACAACAAGCATGGATTGTCCTCCCATTTAACAACTACACTACAACTAAGCTAATGACATGAAATTAAACTAATTAAACTAACTGAGAGGTACAATCCATCAAGAAATGAGTATGAACCATCAAATAAACCACAAGAACATGCCATTAAGCATTATATCTTGACAATCTCTAGATCTATAGCATTAATATACATAGACATGCATTAATAACACAAGAAATAGAAACAAACACATGAACATCTATTTTAGCATACATAGATATATGGATAGAATGAAATGATCAATTGGAAACGTTAAACCATATAAATCATTGAATAAACAAGATCTATATATATGAAAGTGTCAAAACATGTATCACAATACAAATCCCCTCAAAAATACATAAATCAAGAAGTAGAAAGCATGCTTAGGGCTAACTCTAGCCCCAAGAGGATGTCTAGCCACTCATGGATGATGTCCTCCGACCCTCAAGGGCAAGGTCCATGGAAAAAATCTGTTCCTTGGTTGATGAAGAGTCTCTAATGGTGTCTCTAGCCTTCTCCCCTCCTTTGCTTCCTCACAAAGTATTATCTTTTCTCTAAGTATATCTATATGTGTAAAAGTGGCTCATATTCCTTATATAGGTAGGTCAAAAATCACCCCCAAATGAGCTGGGCTTGTACACCAATAATCCTCTAATGATTGGATATGAGACAACTTTTAATAAGCTGGAATTTAGATTTTTCTCTGGATTTGGGAAGTTTAATCGATCGAACTTGAGGTGAGATCGATCGAACATGGCTGAGATCTATCGAATTGAAGCTGGATCGATCCTCAATGGCGGTGCTTTTTTAAATAAAAACAAATCTGAGATATTTTAAAGATATTTTTGGGAAAAGGACAAAAGTGGTTAGTAGGGTGGTATAGTTGGATAAGATCTGGCATGTGGATAAGGACAAGAAAGTTTGATCGATTAGAGAATGATGTTGGATCGATCGAACTTTTGGGATCTCTGAAGATGAAATCATGGCCTGGATTTATCTTAGAGTGTTGAGATCGATGAAAGTTGGATCGATCGAACTTTTCTTGAGATCGATCGAAGTTGCTGAAATTCCAACATTTGCTTCCTTTTGCTCTACTTTGTTCTTCTTTGATTCATCCCAAAATTGCTTTATTTCTGCTCTTATTTGGCTGAGTTCGCTTATTTTGGGGATAAGTACCTGAAAATGGAAATAACACGAAATTAATCTAAAGCGGGAAAATAAGATAAATAAATGGACTAAAATGCCCTCGCTTAGGGGGTTTAAATGCGCACTTTTCAGCGCTCATCACACCCCCAAACTTAAATCTTGCTAGTCCCTAGCAATAAACTAGAAAGTAAATGAATGAAATGAACAACTATACAACTACGAACTAGAAAGTAATAAATGGATAACGCCACTTTCGTAGGGAACACGATTGCATTTAGCATATGCAACAAGCGTTTTAAACCTTAGGATACCCCTAGCGGACGAGTGAAGTCTCATGAGGATTTCTAGAAATGATACCCACAAACATTAAGCTTATTCTTTCAAAAGAGGCACCAATATTGCAAACAAGTATTAGGAGAAAACTACCTCAAGTATGTAATTTTTCAACCATTTCCAAGCAATCTCTCAAAATTTCAACATCAAGCAAGCAAGTATGGTCCTCCACACATCAAGAAAATGATCATGCAAATCAAAACAACTCTAGAATCCTTTTTGAGTGGACTGGCATCAAATATGTTGCTATCTTAGCTAACTAAAGAATTAATCACATCCTTACCCTCAAACTAGCACATAAATCTAATACCGATCATCAAGACAAAAAGTGGACCTTTTATTAAAGCTTTATTGTTCTAAGTACTCTTATTTTTTTCACTCGATTTATTTTTTTTATTTTTTTATTTTTTTATAGGATCAAAGATGGAAACATGGTGCAATGTGTTGATCTATTAAGCTTTCTAGCGATTCATGAGGTCGAGCGTTAGGTCAATAACTCCCAAACCAGACGGCTTTAGGACACTAGGTGTTCAAACACTCCTAAAGACTTACAAGTTCAAATTAACTAAGTTACAAATCAAAACAACCTCCATCTAATCATTTCCCACTTCTCACCTTTTGGAAGAAGTCCTCACTTTTTTATTACTTTTGCAACCTTTTTTTATTTTTTATTTTTATCAATTCAATTATTAACCTAGAGTTCGGGCCCTCCACCTTTCGGCGCGAGAAGTTCAGTGCTTGATGAGGCTAGAATCCCGGCTATTTAGTGAAAATGGGTTGTTATCTACCTTTATCAAGAATGAAAGCTTTCAATGCACTACTAGCTCAATTGGGATATAACCAATTCAATAGTCAACAAAGCATGTACCCCACAAATGAATGCTAGTGTGTGCCTGTGCTAGTGTAGAATTCTAGAGTGAATCTCAAAAAAATCACAAAATCATGATGATGTGGACCACAAGTGCAAGCAATATATCAATCTTTCGAAAAATTTACTCCTAAATGGTATCCACAAGGCATACAAGGAGTATTGGACTCTCAAGTCAAGCAATTTTTAAATTTTAAGCAATATAATCCTCGAAAGATCAAAATTATAGCTAGTTATGGGCCAATCATAGAAAATTCACAAATATACAAGTCATGCTCAAAATTTTGAATTTAAAAACAAATACTGTAAAGCACCATTACCCCCAAACTTAAATGGCACAATGTCCTCAATGTGCAAAAAGAACAAAAGTAAAGAGTATGCTAGTGCAATTAAGGCAAAAAATGGCTGGGACAAAAGTATCCAAAGTGGGTGGCATAGTCCCCCCAAACTTGGGATTAACTGTGGTCCTGAAATTTAGCGCTTGGATAAACTCATCAGATAACAAAAGGGATAATAACAGTGCATAGCAGACATGCAAGTGTAAACGGGGATAACAACTGAAAAATAGAGAGAGGTAAAAGGGGTGGTCTTGAAAATTTTGGGCAGTATTCTCTCTCACTGAAGTCACTGGGATGCACCTGATAGAGTCAACCAGATAGCTATAAGAATATGAAAATATGACATCCATACAGAAAACATATATAAATTTAAAAAATAAAGTACAGTACATCCAATATCAAAGCCGACAGACACGGCTACAAAAATAATATAATAGTATCAAAAGTATGCAGATATCACAGATATAGAGGAGGAGTAAGAAAATATGAAAATCATGAAGAAGAAGTAGGACGGGCAGGTCGCGCTCCGCGGATGTCTCTGGATAGATCTCTGAATGCGGTCATGACATCCGTGCGGAGGGAAACAATGTCAGCTCTAATGGAGACAGTCTCCGCACGAATAGATACCATGGCGTCCTCTAGAGTCTGAAGTCGCTCTCTAAAGTTGGGTATGTGAGCAAGAGCCTTAGGTGTGGCTGGATGGGTAGAATCATGATCCTGAGCCTGCTCCTTATCGTGAACGAGTGACCCAACTGGAGAGTGCTGCTTTGCGTCCTCTGCAGGTTGCTCCAAATAGATGTCCATGTGTACGGTAGCCGGATTAACTGGTATATCGTCCGCTGCCGGGCCTGCTGCTGCTGCTGCTTGCTCCTCTACTTCTAGATCCTCTGCGGCCTCTACAGCATCGTCCCTCAGACTTTTGATAAGAGCGTTATAGCTCTTATCCAAGTCATTCTTCTCAAAGGAACAGGCCCCGGACTCAGTCTGCTCCTGTGGTTGGAAGGGATAGCGCTGGTCTCGTAGAATCTGGGTGATGAGATGGCCAAATGGAAAATACTTAGCCCTTTTGGGCTTGGCCTTGCTGATGTGGTAAACATACAGCTTCATCATGACGCTCCAGATGAGCGCTGGGATAGATAGCCAATGCCTTGTAT